TTCGAATGTCACAGCCAATTTCAAAATAAATTGAATATCAATTTGTGTACCTTGCCGAAACTTTCATTATCGGGAAATATGTTAATTTCTACTATAAACCATCAAAATTAAACTTTTGTATACAAATATAAATTCTGCAAAAATAGTTTTAGTAGACACGTATATTAAAAAAAATATAAGTTAAGAAAAATAAATAGAAAAACAGCAATTACAAGTGGAACTGTAATATTTTTCTATATATATATATATTCTTCGGAATATTTAGTGTGCAAAAAACTACTTATTCAAGTGCTAAAGGAAGAGATTTATGAGTAAAAGGGACATGGGGCTCACGAAGTAATTTTGTAAATATTTATTTAATCTAGAATAAATGTCTTTTATTATTAAATGTAAAATTGTATTGCATTGCATTAGTATTGCATTGCATTAGCAAATTTTTTTTTCAAAAATAATAAATAAGGAGTGGGATAATTGTGTAAATAATTAATTTATCAAAATTGGCCAAATAAGTAATTTAATAATCATTTCACAAAAATTTATTTTATGTAAGTAATGAATTATCATGTATAATATCCGAGGCTTCAGTGAAATCAAAGTTTGCTTAGAAAATATTGTCTTCATTCACAATAATTAAGATTTTTTCGAATGAGTTGCGATGTTTATTCTTACACCATGGATTAAAATATTATCTAAATTGGGATAATTGGATACTATCAAACCTAATTTTATATGATTAATTATCAATTAAAACTATTTCTCCATACAAACTATAAATATTTATGTCTAGTTGAATTTAAAATTAATTTCAATTTGAAAAAAAGATTAGGTAATTATGATTGATAACCTATTTTTCTATAATTGAATCTAGTACATATTAAATATTATTGTACCGTTTATCCTTAACCTTGTAAATAATTTAAACTTGTTGAAATTCAGATATTTACATCTTTGTTAATTTATACACTAATTGAAACTAAATAAAAACAAACACAAAAGAAATTTAACAAAGTTTGACATAGCGACTGGCCCTGAAAATCATTACACACCGTAGTTAAATATCAATAAAAATGATTTTTTATGTAAAAAATTATATACGTTAGAAATATACTCTCGGCGAAGTATTGCCCTCGGGCAGGTCGTGTACTGAGTTAAACCCCACATATATTCAAGAAAGTATATTGTTGAAAACTTTCTCTCATTGCCATCTAATATTGCCCGAAATGGACTATTTGCAATCGCAAACACATTTTTAAACTTGACTCGATGTCAGCGCAATGTAACAATGTTATATAATTCTTGTTGAATTACCTTGCACGAGAATAAAATAAATAGATAACCACATACAAGATATACATAAACATAAATGAACACAGGCACTAGAGTTGGTTAATATTTTGTAAAAAGATGATTTAAATTAAATTTTAAGATATCCAATTTAAAAATTATTAAATTTTCCGAAATTTTCCAATCACTTCATAATAAACATTAGCCTCTAGTAAATTGTAAGCATTAATAAAATATTCACAGCTAGGAGCAAAATTAGGAATAAATATTGGCATGACAGATTGACCTAACGTCTAAGCAAAATGCATTATCTTATCACCTGTATCTTATGATCCATCTGATATAATATTTGGCTCCACAACCCCATCAAAGTACTGATTAAAATTGAATGTATACAAATACATTAGGCACTGAAACATTATAGCAATCGTGTCACCATGTCCTAGTAATCGACTTAATATACGGAAAATCTAAAATCGAACTGAACCCATAGACGTCAATGTTAACATTTGTATTTTACGGTACTCATTAGCATTTTACACAAAATATGAGTTTTGACGCATACGTTTAGTAACTTAATTAACAGATTTTCGCGATACATTTTCAATGTAAAAAAAATTACGTAAACGGGGATGTAACGAATTAAAAAAGATTAATACTGAAGGCGTGGATATTTTGACAAATAATAATTTGATCTTGCTATGGTAACATCATAGACTTGATTTCTGGATTGATATCTATATTTTTCAATTTTTTTGTTCATTTTACAAATAAGCGTATGAATCGAACTGTGTCTTGATTGCCATCTATGAAAATTAATAAA